TGCAGAAGGATGGTACGGAACCCTGGTTTCCAAAATATGAATGGTTTTCCTTTACCCCCTTTCTTCCTGTTTTTTTGGCTTTAAACTTTTACCAGTATATAATGTTTTGTTAGTTATGTACCTTTAATATTTTGGTAGTATGGGGTGGGAGCTCCATTGTATTAGGAGTTGTATAAACTTACAGAAAAAGACAGTTCCTGCCGTACAATCTGAAAGATGATAACCTCACATAATAATATAATGGGATGAAATGTTAAAGGTGAGTTAGGGGATAATAAAGTGTCTTGAAATTATATTTTCCTTTCTGGAAGCCATCTCATGAATCAAAAATATTTCTGTTTTGGTAGTTTTATGGCATTTTAGTTTCTAGGTGAGGGCAATATTTTGAGACAATCAGATTATGTGCTGTTTCCACCTCACAAATGGATCCTTGATGCAAAAAGTCCGTGAAGAACCAACTGAAATTTGAGTTTGGAGCTGTTGATTCCTGCAGAACAAATTGTACAACATTTTTTGTATAGCATAGGTAATTTAGAGTAATACATTATATTTATATTTCTCAATACATAAAAGTACACACCTTGCTCGGTATGTGTTAGTGAATACAGAAAGCAGCCATCTGGAATTTTGTGAGTGATAGAGCAGTGGCAGGCAACAAGACTGAAAATGAAGTATTGGGAGTTATGATCAGCAATACAGCTGTTTTCCTATCCCGCAAAACTTTGAGAAATTGGATATATTTTCTTGTTCTGCACTTGGACAAAACCAAGACCTTTCAAAATTGTGTAAACAATAAAGATTTTGTCCTTGCAGGTAAATGAAGCCTTTAGCCATGTGATTCAGCGTAAATCCACTGGGAAGGTCATCATCTCAGTTAAATGAATCAGCCTGTTTCTTCAGACACAGCCCCCTGCTGCTGTTACACTGCTTTGAAGAGGAGATTATCACTCTCAAAAGATGAAATAATTAGCATTGTCACTTTAACATTTTTTATGCAAGGCTCAAGTGACTTTTCACATGATTTGTTTATCCTCACTAGTAGCACAGAGGGGTTGGGGGTGCTTATGATTTAATGGGAAAAACATTTGCACTTTTGGCTTACTGTGATGGAGGTGCAATAGTGCTTGACAAACAGTGTGAGGAATCCTAGGGTACATAAGTCTTTGCTATGACAAGAGAAGACATGTGGATATGCAGTTGATTTCAACATAAACAGAATCTGATTAAAAGTCTCACTGCTGGGAGATAATGTACTTACAGCCTCCTTCTGTTGTACCCCACCTGGGCTTCTCACACTCTCTTTCCATAGCATTGATCCTGTCCTAGCTGATAGAGTGTATTGTGCACACTTCACCCACTCACTTCTTTCACACTGATGATTGCACAGGCTGCTTCCCTTTCTATTGGTGATGACATTGTTCCTTGTGTCAACTCCAGGAACAGGAGGGAGGTAACTGGTAGAGTTTCTTTTAATGCCTTTTAAGAGCTGGAAAGAAGAAACGGAATTAAGCCTTTGAAGACCAGTAAGAGACTGCAATTTGAGACCCCCTGCCCTTAGGCAATGTAGAGCAGCAGTCCTGTCTGCAACTGTGTCTGAACAGCAAGCTAGAAGTGAACTGCTTGTGTGGGAGAGATGAAATTGAAATGAGAAGTAAAATAAGAAAGACAACAGGCAGCTGGACACACTTGCTTTAGGAGAGTGAACCAGACCATGGCTCCATCTAGTTCAGTGGCAAAATTCCTTCAGGAGAAAGAAGCCAGCCCCCAATAATCAATGTACCATGGAGAGAAAAGACTTTGTCCTTCCCCCTGCATCAATTCAGCTTAGGTCCTAGGAGCTGAAACTGTGCTTTAGTTACTTTAACAAACATAACAGCACGAAAGGAGAAAGTCCAGTCTGAAACACTGTTAAGAAGCACATTTTACTTTTTCAACCTAGCTTAAAAAATCTGTACCCATAATGGACTGTAGGACATGCTGTAATAGATATGAAAATACCTACTGTGGGTCTCATGTTTGATAAGAAAGTTGTTAAATTCCTCCATATTGTTGCTATTCCTGGTTCCAGCCCAGTGGACAAACTCAGCTGTTAGCTACTCCAAACTCTTTGGACCAAAATGCACTTCTTTGGTTAACATGGCTTTGTTGTAGCTGTGGGTATCAGGCTGCCTTGCTCACATCCAGGCTGTTGTGAAGTGAAGACCAGATACTCTTCTTGTGCCCAACACATTCCTTAGCATTTGGGATCATTCTCTAAAAGAAATCATTCACGCCTTAAAAATGTGACTAATTATTCAGGTTATCACTGGCTTCCTGATACAGAAAACATGCTTTGTTTGAGAGTCTTATATAGTTGCCAACAGCACAAAGAGTTTTGCAGAGAATAGCAGGTTCAAATAAGCTGTGGGCTGAGGGACCATTAGTGCATGTTGTGTGCACGCTTTTCAAATATTTACTGTTGTGCCAGAGATAAATGGTATCCTTTTAAGGTGGGAGAAACTCAGCTGCCATCCAAAAGCAATTATGCACATGCTTAATTTATGGCTTCAAGCAGCCCTCTGCTTTGAGGTTAATGGTAGGGTTTAGGCCTATGCTTAGGTGCTTTGCTGAATTGGGGCCTGTCACAAAGCTCTGATGGAGTTCCCTGTCCTGTTTTGGAGTCTTGTACCCCAGTTTCATGTACTCCTGGATTACCATTGGCCTGAGTAGACTGCAGACCCTTGACCTCTCTGGTCCATTTCTAGCCATAGGTGCAGACTCTGTTACACCTTCTCAGAATTGTGTCTCTCTAATCCCCAGGCCCCATGCTGATTCCCAGTCATGTAGGCATTATGGGTTTATAATTCACCTCTACAGGGATGTTTTCATGACAGCAATCAGACAGATGGACTATGCAAGATTTTGTAAATACAACTGCTCTTCATTTTAGGTAGCACCAAAGATGTGCGGCCCTAGATGCACAATATTGTTGATTTAGAAAACAACAAATATTGTGCATGAATTACATTTCTCAATGCACAGGAACATTCTTTTGTGCTTTTTAAAACCTTGCTGTTGACATCTGACTCCTTTGTTCTCCTGTTTGAGGATTCTTCCACCCTTCAAAACCAGGCCCCTCCAACTTGGTTGGATTTGTTTCCCAAGTCTTTAGCCATCCCAGCCAGGGCTCCCACTGCTGTGCGCACCAGGGCATAAGGGGGTGTGTGCCCCTGGATCTGTGTGTGGGGCAAGGGTGGGCTGCTGCTGCGGGCTGGGGCAGTGCCAGGCTTTTCCCAGCTGGGTGCTGGGTTGGGCTGTGTTTGGGGTGGGTGGTGGCAGCAGCACTGAAGGGGATTATAGAGAGTGGGCTGCAGCCACCCTAAAAATCATCAGAGCCCCCTGTAGCCCCCTACCCAGTGCCATTGCTGCCTGCCCCAAGTGCAGCCGCAGCCCAGCCCCTCTGCCAGGAAGAGCCCAGCTCCATCCCTGGCTCAAGCCTGCAGCAGCAGCTCACACTCACCCCATGCACAGATCCAGGGGCACGTGACCCCCATGTCCTCCCAGGGTGTGTGCTGCAGCGGCAGCTGCCCCCCCGCAATGAACTGCAGCTCCGTCCCATGGCCTGCCTGCCCATGCAGCCCCAGCCTCCCTCCCTCACTGCGGGCGCCTAGATCTGCCCCCTCTCCCTGCCACGCTCCTTCCCTCACAACAGACTTACCAGTTGGACCTGGCTACTCTCCACGCTGTCAGGCTGTGCTGGCTGCCTGCATGCTACACTGTGGCTGCACACATGCATGGGGCATTTATTGGTGAGATTATTGGCCGCATCAGCCAAAAAAAGCCAATTGCTGACACTGTCAATTTTCCTTATATTGGTGCCAATCTGACATGGGATCAATGTATCAGTGCACATCTAATTAATATATATTAGATGTGGGTACTGAGTATCAGTGTAGACCCTGATTCTGTGCTTTGTTTCACATAGGCAGACCCCTAAATCTCTGTGGGACCCCTATGACTTCACTGGCCTGAATCTCAGTCTGCATGTGTAGAAGAATCCGTCTACAGCCCAGAGTGAAAGATTAGGGCTATAATAGACTGGTAGTTTGGGAACTAGGGAATTAAATGTAGGCCCATTCTTTTCTAGCTGACATGGATGCATAAGGTTTGATTCTGAAGACACTGTCAATACCATCTAGAAGTTGGTTAGTGAACTTGGCCCAAGTCCTAAGAACAGCTGTCTATATCATAAAAATGACCATCATGGTTGCAGTAACTGGCAACCTTTTAGGCAAGTGTTTGTAGAGTAGCTGAGGAATGGACGATTAACCCACCTGTTGTGGTTGAGAGATCCTGTGAGGCCAGAAGTGGGGAGGATGCACTGTGCCTGCTGTGTAGACAAGGGACTTAAGTTTCCAGTCTGATGCCTTTCACAAACAGTAGGGGCCAGATTGTGTTTTCCTGCCTCTTCCTTGTAGTGCAATGAGAGGCTCAGAAAACACGATCCATTTATCCAAATACATCTTTGTGTTTATATGGGGTGAGATGTGGACACGATCCAACAATGTTTCATGCTCCTTTTGTCTGGTGCTGTAGAAGCGCCATTAGTGTGCTCTTTGCATGCATGGGATTCTACAGTTTTGGAGAGAAGCCCCTCAGATCCTTTAGGAGAATGGTAGGCAACCTTTTCTTGCTTTGGACTGGAATGACCCATCTTGGGTCAGAGGAAGGTGGGTGCTAGGACCTGTCCACAACCAGCACTGGCAGCTAGATGCTCATGCTGCTGAAAACCACTAACATCTGTCTCAGGTGGTTCAGATCATCTGACCTGATCTCTGTGTATACATTTTCCTCTGTTGAAAGGTGTAGGGCCATGTTTTCAAGTGCACCCAAACCTAGACCCAGATTTTCAAAAGAACTTGATGTGTTTTGAGTGGAGTGACACAGGGCTAAGCATTCTTGAAAATCTGCTCTGTGATTTACTTGTGCCACCAGGTTTTAAAGATCTGATATTCAGGAGTCCTGTAAGAGAGAAACCTTTATGTCCTGGCTCCAGTCACCTGACCTGAACCAGGATTACAAAGGTAAAACTTTCTCAAGTGGCAAAGTTCAATATTCACTGACTCTGATGCCGTCATCAAACGAAGTATAATGTCCTTCCCACAAACACTCACCAGCTCCTGCTGGGTGAACTAAACAAGTTGGATGATGAATGTGTTTTAGGGGAGGGCAAGCCTCCCTTCCTTGTCCAACCTCCTCCCCCACAATATTGTTAACTGCAAAAAATAATTTGTAACTGGAATTGTGGAGAATGATCAGGTACAGTGAATGCAGTGAATTATTTCTTCTGAACTTCTAAAATATTCAGGGTTTTGATACTTTTAATGAGTAAACTTAGAGCTGAATGTAAACAGCACAGACTAGAAAACTCACTTGGTTTACCTTCTAAGCCCAAAGTAAGATTTAAACAAAACTTTGAATAATGGATAAACTTTTGAATAATGGATGTTTTATAATCAAAGTCCCTTAAACTTTTCTTTTTTATCCAGAATGGAAGCCCCCTAATTACATCACTCATGGTACAGTGGATGCAAAATGCTTTGTCTTTGCGCTGCTGATTAATTGGAGTGTGCATTTTTATTAAAGATTCAGAGGTAGGAATGCAAATCCCAGCTCTGAACTGTCTGTGGAAACATTGGTTCAGAAAGTGGAACCATCTCTATGGGCTAGATCCCTAGCCAGCGTAAGTCTGTGTAGAAGCCAATGGAATTATGTTGATTTGTGCCTGCTGAGGATCTACCCATGTCATTTTGCATCTTTCTTCTCTTCTCCTGGCAAGTCACAATTCCCTTTTTACCTCCTGCATTTTTTATGACTAAACCTGATGGGGCTGTTGCTTGTCCTGGTTGGTATAGAGTATTCCATGTCCTTTTCAAAGCCTGATATTTTTTGTAGGCTGACACAATGGAGCAGATCCTCAACTGTTGGGAAGTGACAGAGCTCCCCTGAAGTAAGTTACACCTGCTGAGAATCTGGATCCATGGTTATGCTATGAGGTCACATTAAAGTCAGTTTTGCACCATGATGGACTGGGTTTTATACAGCGAAGTAAAATTTTAATTAGGGTAACTCTAACTAATGGAAGTAATTATTGAAAGTCACCTCAGAAAGGTCAACGCTCAATAGCAGGGGACAGATTGCGCTGACACTCGCATTGAGACTAAATGCTGTGTCATGATGTGATGACTTTGCAATGCAGAGGAATTTTATAGTCTTGCAAATTAGTCTGGCAGGACATAGGGCTAAAAATTATCATGCATCACAATCCTATATCTCTCCTCTGATGTTATTCCATCACTTGGCAGTCTATCTTCTACTTTTGCCCTTTTCCAAGTTGATTCAGCTACGATGAAATTTTAAACTATGAGGATATAAATCATTCTACCATGGATGAATTTAGACAGCAGGATTAACTTAAAACAGTTTTTGTCGTTGCATTTGTTTGCCTTTGTTCTCAGTTTCCTTACCCCTGTGCCTAAAGCTCTCTGTGAACCCAAATAGATCAAGTTCTGCTTTAGTACTTCTCCAATGGCCACTTTTCCAGTTCTTTTGGCTGCAAAGAAAACCTTCTGGGAGAGGAAGTAAATGTGAACAGATACAGTGCTGGCTTCACAGGTTTGTAGCCAGTCTGGAACAAAAGCTCTAAGACATTGTGATCTTGAACTGTGGTATAGCAAGCAGTCTGAGACTGGACATAGATAGAAAGACATAGTTAAAATATTACTTCCTATGAGACATTGTGATATCAAAGCAAGTTTTAACTATGCCAGGGGCAAAACATGTTATAACATTTGATACAGTCAATGTTCTTCTATTGGAAATGACATCTCTGTCTTGTTTTCCTCCTAAAACAGTAGCTGGCAACATTTTTTAGTGGCATGCTAGAATGATTTAACTTGTGT